TTACAAAGTTCTACAACTGGTCAAGTGCAGAGAATAAGTGTCTGTGAGGTGCCCAGCCCTAAATGACACATCTACAATGCAACCTCTCTACCTAAGGCTCAGGGATCATAACAGAACAAGGGTCAGAAAGAATATTAATTCCTCTCAACTCCCACCAGTAAGTTTCCTCATACAAGAGGTGATTAACCCAGAAAGTCACAACTGGCCAAACTACAGAGAGCAAGAGACTGCAGAGAACTTATCCCTGAATAGGACACTTATATCAAACCTCCGCCACCCAAAGTTTAGGGACTATTGTACAAGAGGGGGCAGAAAAGTTTTAAGAGCCAGAGGTGATGGATGACCACAAGGAAACAGTTTTTCCAGACATCTGGGAAGTTACTTACATGAGCAATAGCAACAGCACATGAAAGACCCATGCAAGCTGGAGCCAGATAAAATCCCAGCGCAGTTTTTCCAGACATCTGGGAAGTTACTTACATGAGCAACAGCACATGAAAGACCCATGCAAGCTGGAGCCAGATAAAATCCCAGCATAGCAGTGGGGATGTGGGGAAGAAGTCCCAACCTTAGCTGAGGAACCATCTGTAACCAATAGCCACTGGGAAAGGGAGAGTTGGGTTCTTTTAAGGGTGTAATGCTAGACAGGCTAACCAGGCTCTGGTGGACAAATGCACATCAAAGGACATTTGGGGACACAAACTTGGCTCTATTTGCCTTAAAGTATATGACAGTGTGCAAAATCCAGAGCGGTGCAAATAGGGGGAGGGAGTCAAAAGATGATCAAAACATTATATAAAAACTTCCAAGTCAATAAATTGAGTTATTAAAATGATACAGGTAGTTTACACAATGAAGGAAACATCTATAGAATATCTTTCTAAAAAAAGCAGAGACCCAGGGAGGTTAGGGGTGATAACAGCAAAAGAACTTAATATCCAAGATATAACAGAATGCCTGTGCTTGAGAACACAAAAGTACTTACACACATGAGCTGCTATTCTTTAAGATGCACCCCAGGATAACTACTAAGGTGGTTCAATATAAAAATCAAACTTAAGACATTGAGTTATTTTTGTGATTTGTGTGGCACCCCAATCATGCTGTTCTCAAGTATAAACTTCGAAGACAAGGTCATGTTGCAATGTCAGCAGGGCAGGCCTTTCTGGAAGGCATTATTTCCTAGCACTGAGTATTCTGGCAAAATGTGGACAACATTCAGATCTAATACCAGGGCATTTTGTAGGTAATCAAATTCCCCATGGTACGAGGATGCTATTGAATAGTTGATTAATTCTATTGAAAGGCTTCACCTTTATACAGTGCACTCCCACATAAGTCCTCCAAAACACTATTCCTGTAAAACCATGTCAAACAAAGTTCATACCTGAGTCTCTTCAGGGGCCCATGGCTATCTTTTAAAGTCTCCAAGATCATCGTTATTCCACTTTTCCCCAAGAAATTCTGACCCAGGTCCAGGGTTTCCAGCTTCTGATTGCTCGCAAGGGCAGTTGCAAGTTTATGGCAATACAAAGGGCTGAGGGAGCATCCCCAGAGCCTGTAGAGGAAGAACACAGAAAAGCACTCTCTCCTCTAGCAAGTTCCTACTTGGGACCTATCAGCACTGCCAGACATCCTACTTCCTGGGGATCCAGCCAGGGAGAAATGGCAGAGGGACTGATAACTTGTCCTCTTGGGAGCTTGTTTTACTAAACACTACGCTGTGTCACACAGAAGACAGAAGGTGACAGTACTAACCATCACCCCCGTTGCTCTTTATTAGGTAGTCAAAGAGGGAATGTGTAGATTTTGCTTATGGTGGTCATAGAAGTCCAAGAAACTAAAAGAAGGTAGATCATGAGCCACATTGACAGTCGGATGAAAGCATTACTTGAAAACACTATCTGGAAAAATGAGAAAGTTTGACTCAAGCCAAGTATAACGATACACACCTGGAATCATCAAGAGAATGGGCAAGAGGATTGCCGTGAGTTTAATTCTAACCTGGGCTACATAGTACCAGGCCAGGACTACTTAACAAAGCCCTATCTCAACAACAACAACAACAACAACAACAATAATAAAGTTTGGTTCAAGGGCTGTGAATAGAACTCAGTGCTTGCCTAGAATCTACCAGTAAGGAGCTCAGGAAATGATTGTCTAAAATTCCTAGTGAGGGTCTGTGTGTCTCCATGGTGGATTACCCATCTTGCACACATAAGGTTGTAGGTTCCGTCCCAAGCACTGCACGTGCGTGCACACACACACACACACACACATACCAACTGTGCTTGCCTATAAAATGTTATGGTTCATAACTAGTAAATGTTCCCCTATGATTCTGTAGTACATTATTGAAGTCTTCAGATTTGAATCAGGGATTTGGGGTCTTTGGAAATAATGGTGGTACTGACATGCAACTTGGATGGTCCCTTGAAGTGATGGGTAAGACACTTTAGGAAGCCAATGACAAACCTTTAGACCAGTTCAGAGATCACAAAACAATTTATATGATGTTTGGAGGCTTAGATGGGTGTTTGAAATGGAGGGGGTGGGTGGCCAGGAGAGCAGGTGGCCAGGGGGACAGATCTGAGACATCTAGAAGGAGATACGTAAAGATGGTTTGAATGCGAGTTGTAAAATTATTACTGTTGACACCAAGACTCTGATATTGTAAGACTGAGCTTCATTGTAGAGTTATGGAAAATTACTAATAACTGCCATGTTACTATTAACTCCATAGACCGCACCCTCTTTTTCTCAGAGTCCCTTGAAAACTAAAAGTTGCCTTTGCCTACAGAAGGTCAGAGAGGTTCTGTTAAGGAGGACAAGGGTTTTGCTAGCTGATCTTTAGTTCCACTCAAGCCTGGAAAAGTGTTAGGGTTCCCCAGGTACACTCAAAACAAAAAAGATTCCTCTAGTATTTTTTTCATCTCTATAGCAAAACTAATGAAGCAATTTCACCACCCAGATTCCAACAGAGTTTCAACTGCAAAGTTGAAAGTAGGCTGCATCGTGAGATGCATTTGGGCTAAGGCTTGGAAGAGAAGGGGCAAGAGATCACCATTCTGTTTATGGAGTCATTACTTTTTCTGGGTGTAGTATCCCTTCTAGTTGCATGGGTGCTGAACGGAAGCCCTGTGCTTCCTGATCATTGCATCCTAGCATAAGCAGTGTGCTCTTGACACCTTCTTCTTTGGTAAGCCCTCCCCACCTATATCCCAGGTCTCCAGCCCCTCTAAACAACTTTGTGAGCACTGAGCACCCAGTTACCCATGCTAAGTCTCTGGATGGGTTTGGCTCCTAAAATGAAACCCAGAATTATACTGCTCCAATCTGAGATATTTTAGAAGAAATTTAAAAATCCTGACACTGTAAAATAAATGTCAATACCTACCCTAGGCATTTGAGACTGAAGTTTGAATGCCCTAAGGCATCACAGAGAAGCAACAGTCCAGTAGCTATGGGATTCAGACCCAGGTCCAAGTGTGTTAAGTTGCAGTCTCCATGGAGCAGCTCCGAGAGATGCTTGCAGCCAACCTTGGTTATGTTACACTGCTGTAGCCTGCAGAAAAATCAAAGTATTATCCCTCTGTACCATATAAAATCCCTGTTACTTTGATCATATCAAACTACACAATTCCAAACAGACTTGCACATTATAGCATACAAATTGAGCACACAATTACATTATTTCTGCACCAAGTGGTAACATGATCAAATTGGCATTTTATACCTTCTATTCAATGTGGAAACGCACAGCTCTTAAAAATACAGACTTCCCTAGGGTGCAAAACTAAAATGTCCAGAGTTCAGTCTCTGGAGGCAATCAACTCTTGTTTACTTTCTGCATTTTGAATACTAAGTGGGGCTGGAGAGAGCATGATACTTAAGAGAGCTTGCTACTTTTGCAGAGGACCAGAGTTAGGTTCCCAGCATCCATGTAGGGTGACTCATAACCACCTATAATTCTAGCTCCAGGAGATTCAAAGTATGTTGATCATCTCTGTCCACCACAACCTAATTCCAATTTCCCCTAGTACCCTAGTCCCTCTTCCTCCCTAATTCATGTCTTTATTTTCTATTATCATTAGTAACCCTTGAGTACAGTTAGTTCATTGGGTATATGGCTATCCACTGGAGCATGGACAACTGGCCAGTGGCCACATCCCCAAAGGAGAATGAATTTCCCTTGAAAAAATAATTCTTGTGAAACATAGCAGGGCCCCTGGCATGCAGTAGATGTTGAATAAGCATAGAACAGTTTTTATGGTGTTTAGATTCAGAAATACTCTAAGATACCATTGCCTGCCTATAAACACTGTATGGCATGAAGTTTTACATTATTCTAATTAACACCATTTCAGTGCAAGCATCTTTATCTGCTACTCAAGTCTTAATTGACTGAGATATGTCTGGATTATGGTATTTTAGAAGCCAGGACATAAAATGACAGGTACTGCTGCTATAAGAGAGCAAGAGCACCCAGAAAAACAAAGAGTGGGCAGAATTTGGGAGTAGAAAGGTAATACTGTACAAATATTATCACTATGATTTTTAAAGATTCTTTAATTATGTATAAATATGTGTGCCTACGTGTGGGTTTGTGACCATGAGAGTGGTGCCCTTGGAAGCCAGAAGAGGACTTGCAGGCAGTTGTGAACTGCCCAGCCTGGGTCCTGGGAACCTAACCCAGGTCCTCTGCAAGAGCAATGCATACTCTTAGTCACTGAACCACCCTCCAGTTCCCATCACTATGATTCTAATACGAACATATAGCTCATGTTGGGCTATTCCAAAATAAGAGGTCGACCACCTACATCCCATTGAAGACCAGCCATGCTGCCTTTTTTCTGAACCAAGATTTCATGGGAAAAGAGCCTATTTCCTTACACATCTACACAGTGAAGTCATAAATGCCACAGAGGACACATAACCCAAAAACCTTGGGCTATTCACTATCTGTCCCTTTAAAATATTTTCAGGTCATGCCTTATCTATCTATATTAAAGTGTTATGTCATGTAATCTTTAAAAACATAAGCAAAGCACCTGATCTGGGAACAAATTGCCTGAGTACAAAGGGCCTCAAAAGATCATGCAACTAATCATCTCTTTATTCTACCTATTCTTTTCCTAAGTGTTGCCACAGTACAACCAGTTATATTTAAGAATTTCTAAGCACTGTCCTACTTAAGTCAATGTATGCATAAATGCACATGTGTGTGCACACACACACACATGCGCGCACACACGCGCACGCATGCAAAGACTTACACCAGCATCTGTAGTTTACACTCTGGATAGCACAAGCCTTCACACAGAATTTTTAATCCAGTATCTCCAAGATCATTCCTGGCCAAGCTCAGATGTGTCAGCTTTTGGCTGACCATCAAAGCGGAAGAGAGCTCCTTGCAACTGGCTTCTGTAAGGTGGCAGTTCTCCAACCTGCAAAAGATTCACAAAGCTAGTAAGGACTTTCCCATACTCAAATTTCTTAACTGCCTCCAAAAAGTCTCGTCTAAGGCCTTAGAGGGCTTAGGTTGAGTCTCCTTCTCTCTCCTTCACAGGGTTGTGATCACATGAATGAGGTGAGAATGTATGAACCACCTGCCAGAGACCAAAAATGAGGAGCAGATGTCTACATCCATGAGTAGATCCAGACATGTTGACCAGCAAGTCTAGTGTCACCGTGCCTCTTCTCTCTACAAATCCAGACTTCAAACAGATGCTCCACAGGAAGAGAGAAGATACTTACGACAGCCTCTTCAGGAAGCACCTTGGATACTTCAAAGCTGTACATAGCAGTATGGCACCCGCATCTAGAAGTTTGTTGTCTGAGAGGTCCAAGCATGTCAGGGACTGGTTGATATGGAGGGTCAAGAACAAGTTATCCCACTGATGAATGGAAGCAGAACAAGATCCCAGCCTGTGCAATACAAAGCAAGTCATCCTCCACAGATGGCAAGGGATTGTACCTGTTTATTCTGATTCACTTCCCTAAAGACTGTCGATACATTTTACATGCCCAACTCTGGTCTAATTACTGAATAAAATCCTAATCTCCTTTGCCTATTCAAATAGTCCCATGGCCATTGATCAATATCCAGCTTCATCTCCAAGAAATAATCTCTAATACAATTCTTGGTGATATTTCACCAACAAGCCTGCTTACACTTAAATATGTGAGTCTACAGGCAAAACAAATAATGCTCAGGGATGGGAGTAAAAGCTCAGTATAGAGGCACTTGCCCAGCATGCGTAAGACCCTCAGTTCTATCTCGAGTGCTGCCAAAGGATACACAACACTCAAAAATTTCAGCCTCAAAAGCTGAGGAATACTGAAGTAAAAAGATAGAACTTTGCTAAAACATCAAATTACAAGAATATCAGGTTTGGGTGCTGCAAGGATATGAATTGGAAAAGTCTATAGTTGTCAGGGATGAGAAGATCATGAAGGTATCTTGGGAACAAATCAAATCAATCCATTGTGTTGGGCTCCAGAACCCAACTATCTTACAGACAAGTGTAATGTCCTTGAGGGTACACTAAATATTATATTCTAAGAAGAATTTATTGTTGAAACCATAGCTCTGCCTCTTGAGTCCAAAATCTTCAAGTTAATGTTTGTAATATTCTTTTATTCCCATGGTTCTTTGGGGAAAAATATCTTCATGTCAGATACATGAAAGATGTGGTTGCATAATGTGCCTAGTAGGATAGTTGCCATTTAAGAATGGAGTTCTTAAAATCCATAATGGGGCTGGAGAGATGGCTTGGACATTAACACTGACTGCTCTTGTAGAGGACCCAGGTTTGATTCCCAGCACCCACATGGCAGATAACAACCATCCATGACTCCAGTTCCAGGAAAATCCAACACCTTCTGACCTCCACAGGCACTGCACAGCACAGGTGCATTTACACACATGCAGAAAATACACTTATTACATAAAATTTTCCAAAAAAATCCATAATAATGGCATTAGAACTTTGAAGTAATCAGCATAGAAGATGCAGTTTTAATTGCCTCAAAAAATGAGCATAAATAGAAGACTCTGTATTTATTGGCCATCTGTCTTTGTGGAGGAGCATCAATGTACCCACTCAGATGTGATTTTAATCAAGATCATAGAAGAGGCATCTACATTTAATACCCCCAAAAGGTTAAGGGAACATCACAGAAGAGGAAGCAGAGGGTACGTAAGGGTTGGAGGACACAGGCCTGTGAAGGGCTGGCCTCTGGACGTGACACAGCGGTTGCACTCAAGAACTCACAGCAGCATGGTTACCAAGTCAAGATCAACACAAGATCAACCCAATTCTAACTCCCAGCAGGCAGCTCTCCTGACCAGAGTTTCTTCCTCCCCTCAGTAAGTTGTGCAGGGAGCTCCAGAGAGGCAGTTTTCACGAGTCACCACCCAAGTTGGGGTGGGCTTTGCAGTGACCTCTGAGTCCCTCGTACTCCTGTGACTAACCATCCACATATGCACTTCACCCCAACAAACTCACTGGCTCACTTGGGTGTAATCATTTCCTCCATCATCCATTGGCATCATATCTGAGGTGTTTAGACATTTGTTCACAACTCCTCAGGAGAAGTCACAACAATGAGATAGCCCTAAAGTATACCAGTAACCATGGGTTCCACCCTGGGGGGGGGCAGCAGTGACCATGGGCTCCACCCTTGGGATGGGGGAACAGCGGTGACCACGGGCTCTACCCCAGGGGACAGTGGTGACCACGGGCTCTACCCCAGGGGACAGTGGTGACCACGGGCTCCACCCTGGGGATGGGGGGACAGCGGTGACCACGGGCTCTGCCCCAGGGGACAGCGGTGACCACAGGCTCTGCCCCAGGGGACAGCGGTGACCACGGGCTTACCTCAGAAACTGGAGGTTGCACTTCTTGTGCTTCATCATCTCTCCCAACAACAGCAGCAGTAAGGTCTTGCTTTCCTGGACACGACCCACCAGGGTCAGATGAGTCAGTGTCTTTTTGCCAATGAGAGCCAGACAGATATCCCTGTATACAGTCATAGGGGAGATGTCTCTAATCCTAAGGAGTAAAAACAGATGGGATTCTGTCTCCAGTATTCAACTTAAAGGCAGTTGCAAATGAAGCTCCCATGTTGTATAACAAGGCATGACTATAAGTTCATTTCTTTAGACATCCCCATCTTTACCAGGGAGAAATGAACCATGCTTCACATGTAACAACTGGTTGCTGGGGGGAGAAATGTGTCAATGTGTCATCTCCATAAACCAGAGCATCCATGAACATGCCTTAGAGGAAGTCATAGGAAAATGTCCGACAGGGATCAAAACCCTGCTGTAAGGAAAGGGGTGAAGATGAACAAAAGAAAATCACAGAGACGCTTGGCACAGGTAGATACTGTTTCCTTTCTGTCGTGTGCAGTGATAAACACCATGACCGAAAGCAACCTGGGGTGGGGGATTTATGTAGCTTATGCTTTGAGTTTTCAGTCCATCAAAGGAAGCAAAGACAGCAGCTCAAAGCAGGCACATGCAGGTGGGAACCACAGCGAGACCATGGAGGAACACTGTACTGGCTTTCTTGGCTACCTTGCTCACACAGTCGAGGCCCTCCTACATAGAAATGGCACCACCCACAGTGTACCAGGCCCTCCTACATCAGCTAGCAATCAAGAAAATGCCCTACAGGCACATCCCTAGACAAATGTAATTTCCTACTATATGCTAAATACAGATCCTTATATTTACAGACAAGTATACCAATCGTGACTCGAAGAAGCTCCTTTTGCAACAGACTATTACAGAATTCCACACCTGTTCACACACAGATAGTAAGTGTCTGTGAGACGCCCAACCGTAAGTGACACATCTACGATGGAACCTCTACACCTAAGGCTCACAGAGCATAGTGGACTAGAGGGAAGAATACTAATGCACCTCTCAACTCTCACCACCAAAGCTTCCTCATGCAACGAGGGTGATGAACACAGAAGGCTACAACTAACTGAAATACAGAAAATGAGACAGCAGAGTATGGGTCCCCGGATAGGACTCCTATTTCAAATCTCACCTACCCAAGGGCTCAGGGACCGTGGACAACTTGGTGGAAAAGTTGTAAGAGCCATGGGTTGTGCATGACCATAAGGGAACAGTCTTACAGGCTCTGTTCAATAAATATATATTATTGAAATTCAATAAAATATACATTGGAGTTTTTATTTTAAATATGTGAGTGTATTGCCTGCATGTATGTAAGTGCACCTGCGTCATGCAATGCCTGCAGAAGTCAGAAAAGGGCATCGAATTCCCCTGGAACTGGAGTTACAGAAGGTTGTTAGCCACTATGTGGGTGCTGGGAACTGAACCCAGGTCCTCTGCAAGGGCAGCCAGTGCTCTTAACTGAACCATCTCTCCAGTCCCCAGAAAAACATTTAACTGAAAAATGTTCCTTCATGAAAGACGATGTAGAAAGAATAGAACTATCTATTCTTATAGAACTAAAAGACAGGGAGGAGTGCAGTGACATGTCCTCTAGACAGAACGACTTTGCACACAAACTCCCAGCAGCTGTGGTTACTGTGCAAGACCGCCACAAGATCCAGCGAGGTAAAAATTCCCACATGGAGAGAAGGTGCCACAGAGGCTCCACCCCTAGTTGAGGAGCTATTGATAACTGAGTTGCTGGGAGAGTTGAGTCACTTTTCCTCAGGAGTATGACCACTAACAAGTTCTCCATGCCCCAGTGGATCACCCCATACCCATGTACATATGAGCACCACTAATTGGATTCAGTGGGTTTTTAAAAATGAATAAATTTAAGAGAAGACAAGAAGTTGGGAGGGAGATGTGCTGGGGGAGAGCCCTGGGTGGAGCTGGACGTGATGAATAGAGAATAGAAGTGATCAATAATGTTCCCCAAATACAAGCCAGACAGGAGCCAGGCACAGATGGGGGAGGGGGGCAGGGAGCCCCAATCCTAGCTGAGGATCTGTTGCCAATTGATAGATGCCAGGAGAGGGAGAGTTAGTTTTCCTTTCTGGTGTGACACCTGGTAGGTTGACCAAACTTCAAGGGATAGACCCACGCACCCAAGAACATTTAGGAAACACAGGTTAGAATAGATAGGACTTTTTGAAAAAGACATGTAGAGGACAAGAAGTCAGGAGGGGTAGTAAGGTGGGGTGAAGAGGGGGCTGAATATGATCAAAATGCATTGTATGAAATTCTCAAATCAATAAAATGTAACACTACATGTATGAAAGTTTCAAAGAACAAATTAAAGTTATTTTTTTAAATGTCCATAACATAGCCATGGAATCTTAAGTATTAAAATACATGGCACAATGAAACACATCATGGATTTCTCCAATTAAGCTGTCCGGTTTCACTTGTAATTACCACATACTCGCTAGTTCTGAGATCTTTAGGGTATGAATATGGGTTATTAGAGACTGAAAGGAGAAAACTGAGTAAAAAGTTACAAAGTTTCAGGACTGAAGAGATGACTCAGCAGTTAAGAGAGCTGGCTGCTCTTGCAGATGACCCAGGTTCAGTACCCAGCATCCACGTGGTGGTTAACAACCATCTGTAACTCCAGCAGTTCTAAGGGTATTCAATGCCCCTCCTCTGACCTCTGCAGGCATTGCACGACACAGGTACACTTACATATATACAGGCAATATACTCATACACATAGAATAAAAATATCTTTAAAAGTTTCAGAAAAGGAAAAGCTCTAGGGACCCTGACACATTTTGGTGAACAGTTAAATGTGACCCCAGCTCCCACCACTAACCTTCCCTTCCCCTTCACATGTAACTACAGTTCTAGAGGCTGAGCTTCTTGACTGTTGGTCAAGTTTACTGACAATCATCTGATGGAACAGGATCTTGCCACTAAATATAACTCATAATGTAAACATCCAAACTGTTGGTCAAGTTTACTGACAATCATCTGATGGAACAGGATCTTGCCACTAGACCAAGAATAAGAACCATTTTTAAAGGAATTTTTTATTTTGTGTGTATGAGTATATTGCTTGCATGTATGTAAGTACACCTGTGTCGTGCAATGCCCAAAGAGGTTAACCGAGACAGCTGCCCTGGAACTGGGGTTACAGACAGTTGTTACCTGCCATGTGGGTGCTGGGACTCAAACTCGGGTCCTCTGCAAGAGCAGTCAGTGCTCTTAACTGCTGAGTTATCTCTCTAGTCCAAGAATAGGAACTATTTCATTTCTTCATATTCCTGGTACATGGTCAGAGTCTAGTCAGGCATTCAAGTTATCACTGCCGTATTAAACTTGCAAAGGTTGCGGTCACACTTAGGGCTCTATTGAGACTTGTTTTACTCACACCACTTTCTGCAGACAACAGGAGACAGAGGTTAAACAGTCACAAAGAATCCTCGCTGAGGGCTCATTCAGGAAGCTTTGGCTGATGTCCAAGAGGCTCAGGTTCTTATTGGAACATATCACAGAGCATAGATCTGCCCAGAGGAAAAGAGAGCTGCTGTGGTTCTGATGCCTGCAAGGAAGCAGAGAAAAGCACAGAAGGGCCATGATATATAGATAACCCAGGACTCCCCATCCTACTGGCTCAAACAGATGCTAGGACTGTGGCATATTGTACATATAGAACTGCTCAGTGACTCAAGACAGCTCAGTGATTAAGAGCACTTGCTGCTCTTGCAGAGGACCTGTTTGGTTCCCAGCACCCACGTCAGGTGGCTTGTAACTGCCTGTTAACTCCGGCTCCAGGGAATCTGATGCTCTTTTTCTGTTCTCCTTGGGATTTGCATATATATACTTTTTAAAGACTTTATTATTTTGATTTTCTGTGTATGAATGTATTGCCTGCATGTGTGTTAAGTGTACCCATGTGGTACAATGCCCGCGAAGTTATGGACAGTTGTTAGCCACCATGTGGGTATGGGAATCAAATCTGGGTCCTCTGTGAGTACAGCCAGTGCTCTTAACCACTGAGCCATCTCTCTAGCCCCTTAAACAATATTCCTCATTAAAATTTTAAAACTCTGACTCTGAGTCCCTCCCACTCATTTTAATATAGTGTTTCCTAGTACGATAAACTTTCTTAACACTCAAGACAATTCTGACTCTAAGCCAGTTGCATCCAAGTCACCCATATAGAACAATGGATTAAATAAAAACAGAACTTGTGAAATAAGTTCTTGAATTGGATCAGTGGTTAAGAGCACTGGCTGCTCTTGCAGAAGACCCAGGTTTGATTCCCAGCACCTACATGGCAGATAACTGTCCATAACTCCAGTTCCACGGGATCTGACACCTTCTTCTGACCTCTGCGGACATTGCATGACATGGTACACTTACACACATACAGGCAATATACTCATACACATAATAAAAAATTTCTTGGGCTGGAGAGATGCCTCAGTGACTGAGAGCACTTACTGCTCTTCCAGAGGACCTGGATTTGGTTCCCAGCACCCACATGGATCCCATGGCTTGGGTACCAGGCATGCACGGAATGCACTTACATACATACAGTATGCACACAAAATAAATTTTTTAAATGAAATACAAGCTTACTTCAAAACCTGAAGGCAAGCCTCCAATCCAACTTTGGTCTCCTCAAATATCCCTCTTTCTACCTGCAGTGACAATTTCTCCACGCATTGGCAATTCTTTAGGCAAAACGAAGAATGCATGAAGTCTGTGCTGGTTTTTAAACACAAAGACATTTCCTCAAAGGAAGCCATCGCTTCCTTCACGAGCCCTTCCTCCTGAGATTCGTATAGATAGGAGAAAATCTCCCGAAGATCCATCACTGAGAAGGGCTTGCTCTCCAAAGGCTTGCTTTGTAATAGCTGCAGTAACTCCTGTTTGACCTCCACCGATGTTCGGCAGCCAAAAGTGGTCTCCAACTCTTGGGTTCGCTTCTCATTCAAGAGGCCAAACAGGAACAGCCCTGCCTGGGCCAGGTTGGAGTTTTTATATCTGACTTCTCTAGAGAACAGCTTCTGCACAACACCAATATCCCACTTAGCACCGTCCCTGCCTTCTTCAGACTTCAGAATGTAAAACATGGCAGCCAGGAACTGCTGGACACTGAGGTGGATGAAGGAGTAGCAGTCCTTACAGTGCCAGTCCCTCTGGATGATCCCCTTGTCTAGGAAGGGACAGAGGTCTGACTCATTCAATCCAAGTCTCCATAGTTCTCCTCCGTAGAATATGGACTGCTGCATCCACAGGCTTTGGGCAGCCAGGAGACACAGGGCCTCCAAAGAGTTGCCATACCCATTGGTGTGGTCACCATCAGATGCTGGTGGGAACTGGGTGCAGAGAAACTTCAGGAACAATGAGGTACAGGTCTGGCAAGTCACAGCAAGGTCTTCCCCCTTCTCCTGAAGTGCTAGACAGGTACAGATCATCCAGCAGACATCAGGAGCTGAGGCCAGGTGGAACAGAGCAGAATTGGCCCTCACAGCACTGAGAGCTCGAAATGCCTCTTTCTCGTCTCCAAAGTGTCTCTGGAAGAATGCCTGTCTTTCCTCCTCTGAGAAGCCTTCAGCCTCTATAAAGAGTGGCTGCTCCACCAACAGAATGAGATCCCGTAAGGCCTGAGGCTGTGTGGTAACCAGCACCATGGAATGGGGAAGCATTTTCCTCTTCAGTAAACTGCTCAGGAGGATGGGTGCTGGATGCTTTGTCCCCCAGTCACCACATAGTTCATTGATCAGCGCCTCCACTGGGACCCTCAGCTCGTCAAAACCATCCACCACAAACAGGACTTCCTGTGTCAGAGTTAAGATCTCCATGATTTCATCTTCCCACTCAGGAGAGTCCATGCAGATCATCTTCCCAAAAGTACAAGGTTCCATATGATTGAGCTCTCTACACTGGAGGTAAAAGGCACATCGAATTTGTCCACCCTGCCCTCCCGCAGTCCATTCCTGCAAACACTTTTTGGCCAGTGTGGTTTTCCCAACACCTGCAGGACCATACAGAACCACCGTTTCCGACAGTGACTTTGTGGCTATTTTTGGATTAAAGAATTGCATCAGCTCCTGGCTTCTGTGCATGTTGTCATGGACATGGAAACTTTTTGTGCAATATCTATTTCTCCAGAACAAAGAGAGTTTTTCTATTATGCTCCTGTGTCTTGTTTCTCTACCTGTATTGATATTCAACAAGAAAAATTAGGTTTGCTGATGGATAGCCTCATCTTAAAACCATGCCTAGAAATATATTCCCACTGCTACCACAGTGACATGAATGTCCTGGGGGTAACCACTTTCCAATTGAATTTAAGGCCTGCTCCACAGGACAGAACTAATGCCTGGCACTGTAAACCTAACCAAGGATCTGTGACTGGGGAGGTCATAGGGAGAACCGGCTACTATTATTTTGCTAAATGGACACAATACCAAACTGTTCTCTAAACACCAATCTTTGCACCTGTATGTTAGTACAGCGCTCCACCCTTAGAAATTTCTTGTTATAGTAGATGGTGGTCGATGCAGAGATTCTCTGCATGTTGACCTGCAGAGAGTAAGTGATGGAGTACTCAGCTATAAATGCAACATCTACATCACATCCCTTCCCCCAAAAGCTTAGGAAGCATCACAAAAGATGGAGCACAAAAATTTAAGAGCCAGAGGAGGACTGCTGGGAAAAAAAACTTTTATCCAAAAGTGTCTTCTGGATAAAACAGAACATTGCACGCACGAACTCATAGCAGCTGTGATGGCTGCTCGTTACCTACAGAAAATCAAGTCAGTCAATATTCTAGCATGGATGGGTGGATACCTAAGGACCTATTGGCAGTTGATGCCTACTAGGTGAGAGTAAGTCATTTATCTTTGTGGATGTGGCCACTGATAGGTTGTCCATGCCATAAAATAGCCCTACACCCATGCACATACAAGCAGCACTAGTTGGATTTGAAGGGTTAATCCCAGCACTCAGGAGGCAGAGGCAGGTGAATTTCTATGAGACTAAAGCCACTGTGATCTACATAGCAAATTCCAGGCCAACTGGAGCACAAAGTAGATCCTGTCTCAAAAAATAAGTAAAAATAAAAATAAAGTGTATGAATTTGCGTGCGGGAGAATCTAAAAGGAGTTTAAGGGGTTGGAAGGGTGGATATGATCAAAATATATTGTATACATCCATTAACTTCACAAAGAATAAGCTAAAATATAAGAACACATTGTATTAAGGTCCAGGCATGAAAAACAAGGAACAAGGTTATTACCTTGTATATTCTAAATAGCATAGGACAGAGTCCACCCACCTAGTTTTTCTGTATCCAAGAATTCCTTGTGTCCTACTGCTGAGTCATCTCTTTTTGGTGCCTGTACACTCTCTGAAAAATATGAATAGATGTGAGCTTGACACATAAGGCTTAGTTTTTCCCACTGTATCAGGTATTATTGGAAGTAAAGAAGGCTTCAATACACACATTTACCACAACGAAGACTCAGTAATATTCAGCAATTTAAAGATTGTAATTCAAGACTGGACTGCACCTCAGTAGTAGAGTGCCTGACTAGCATGAGCAAGGTCCTGGATTCAATCCCCAGCCCTGAAAAGCACACTTAAATATGCAATTCCACTGAAGTGGTACATTCACAGCACTGTGAAAGCATTACTACGATCCAGTCCCAGCAGGTTCCTATGATCCCCCAGACCCAGTGATCCTAAGCTGTTATTCTCTTGCTTCAACCTCCGGCAGCTAAGAACCTCCATCCTGTCCTTGTAGATTTATCTACTCTAAGATATTTTGTATGTGTGGAATCCAAACTGTGCACCTTCTGTAACTAGCTTCTACCCCTCGGCATCTACCCTCCGTCTTTGCTCTACTGAGAATCAGCAGGCCGTTTCTTTGTGTCTGGATGACACACCGCTGAATAGGCAGATAACACCTTATTCAGGTGTCCATCCACTGATGGATACTTAGGTTGTATCCTCCGTCTAGGTAGAATCACACTGTTAACACCCACAGACAGATTTTTGCTTCAATACTTGTTTTTCAATTATTTGAGGTATACTCCCGGGAGACCCACCAATGAAGTTCTGAACTTTCAGGAAGCATGCCATTTGAGAGGAAACACCCCCCCCAGGCACACCCACCTATACACACAGACCACTCCTGATACCCCGCCCTCTCATGCCCTCCCCCAAACACCCTCCCTCACCCCCTACACTCACCGCCACACACACACACACACACACACACACAGCTTTCACTGCTGATTGATCAATGAAAGGTCAATCTGGATTCTGGAGCTTGGTCTCTTCTTTCCACCTGTGTCTCTTTCCACTCCTATTCCTAACAATGAGCACTGGCTGCAATTATTGCAGAAGACCTGGGTTCAGTTCCCAGCACCCACATGGTAGTTAGCAGCCATCCATACCTCCAGTTCCAGTGGATCCAACTCCCCCTTCCTACCTCCTTGGGCATTTCCTAACATGGGTGCACTTACAGACATGCACTCATACACATAATAAATTTTAATCCACGATCTCTTAAACCTGTTTCTGTCAATATACTCACCTGAGGTTTGAAACGATTCTGTGCAACTTATCTTCTCCAGGATGTTCAGGGTCACGTGCCTCAGCCTATTGCTTGGGAATTTCTTGGTCAGAATGTCTGCCAGTTCCATGTTATCTGCATCCTGTACGTCGCAGGATGAGGGTCTCTGTAGATCATCTCTGAATTCAGGAAGGGTCCATAGTTGACATTTGAAGCTCTTTAATTCATCACCCTTCAGTTTCTCCAGAAGGACCTTCAGGTTAAACTCTGGAGGTGGAAATGTCATCTTGCCCAAGGACGAGACTTCGGGTTTCTGGATTGAGGAGAAAATGGTGGGGGAGGGAGGGAGGGAGAGAATGAATCATCAATCAGCATCCATGGGTGAGACACCAGTGGTCTTGTGGAAAGAACATGGCCATTGTTATTGGCCCACTAATAATGATAATATGCTACATAAACTAAAAACATTATAGGCTGGAAAGATAGCTCAGAGATTAAGAGCACTTACAATTGCTCTTGCAAAGGACCCAAGTTTGACTCCTAGCACCCAAGCTGGGCAGCTCACAACCATCTGTAACTCCAGCTCCAGGAAATCCAGTGCCTTCTTCTGGCCCCTGTGAGCACCTTCACATATGCACACAGACATACAAATATAGTTTTTTAATGTACTTAAGTTGGTTGTTGATTTTAAGCACTTGCCTAGCATGTTTGAGGCCCTGGGTTCCAATCTCAAGGCTGAAAAAAAGCAGATTGTTTCAAACTAAAGATAGCATCCAAAAGCCGGAGAGGTGGCTCAGCAGTTAAGAGCACTGGCTGGTTTTAAGGACCTGGATTCAGTTCCCAGCACCCACATGGTCTATAACTCCAGTTCCAGAGGATCCAATGCCCTCTTCTAACCTCTGAGGGCACTGTGTGCATGTCATACATGAGCATGCAGGCAAGCAACAATGAATACACATTAATATTTCTCAAAAAGGACAGGAGGTTCAACAGATTCCAATGCAATACAGAGGCCCGATAGGAAGGAGTTTGAAAACATTCAAAAAAAGACATAAAATCAAAGTCATGAATTTGGGAACAGGACTATTAGGGCAGGTTGATAAGAGAGAGAGATAAGAGGGTGTGGGGGGAGTAATCAGAATGAATTATATCCATGTATGACATTGTCAAGTAGCAAAATCAATTTTTAAAATTCAGAGGGAAAAAACCAAAGTATAATCTTACAGTGAAAATTAAAATATGAGACCATAAAAAAGGAAAAATCAGGAAATGGATAAATTCCTAGACACATGACCTTCCAAAGTTAAGTTATAAACTTAAATAGATTTAAAACATTTTTAGCAGACACAGGACTCAAAAATTAACATACAAAAATAATTTTAGGGGCCTGGAGGGAGGGTTCAGAACTTAAGCGTGCTCGGCTCTACAATCAGAAGACCAGAGTTCAGATCCCAACACCCAAGTAATGAGCTGGTCATCATAAAAACACCTGTATCTCCAGCTCCGAGGGATCTGATGCCCTCTTCTGGCCTCGGACTATACAGGCATGTGCATTCCAACACACATGTGCACACACATGCATGCACACACGCATACACAAGATGCATTTTTTAAAAATTAGGGCCAGCAAGATGGTTCAGCAGGTAAAGACTTGCTTCCAGGCCTGAAAACCCAAGTTTGATTTCTGGAACCTACATGGTAGGAGAAACCCAAATCCTGAAAGCTGTGCTCTGACCTCCACACACATACACTAGGGTATGCATGTGCATGCTCACAAAGGTTTAAATAACTTTTCTATATACCAATAATAAATTTCCTAAGAAATCAAGGGAAAAAATACTATTCATAATAGCTTTTGAAAAGTATCACCTACCTTGGAACAAACATTATCAAGGAGTTGAAAACCCCTATAATGAAAATTTTATGACACTGAAGAGACAGTAGAAGATGCATGCTCATGGACCAGCAGATCGTGAATAGGTGTTTTACTGAGAGTGGGCTACAGATCCAATGCAATCCATCAAAATCCCAGTGTCATTTAATACTTTATTATTTTTATTTAATGTGTATGCATTCATGTAGGTAAGTGCAGCCATGTCATGCAATGCCCACGGAGGACAGAAGAGGCTGATGGATCCCCTGGGACTAGAGTTATGGACAGTTTTTAGCTGCCATGTGGATGCTGAGATTCAAACCCAGGTCTTCTGTAAGAACAGCCAGTGTTCTTAACCACTGAGCAATCTCTCCAGGCCCTCCAATGTCATTCTTATAGAACTATAAAAATCATTCTTAAAACCGTATGCCACAGCACAAAAACCTTAAACAGCCAATGCAGTTTAAGCAGAAAGCGATGTTTGAGGGATCATACCTAACCTCAAATTGTACTACACACCTAAACCTCAATTATAATTTGTTATTTATAATAACAAAAACCATGGTACTGGCACACTGCTGCATGCACACACAAACACAAACCAACATGTACAGCAAGAGAATAGAAGAACCCAGAAATAAACACACAGCTGCAGCCACCGAACTTTTTTACAAGGTGGTCAACATACATTAGAGAAAATACAGCTTATTAAATATAGATTCTGTGAAACTATTTACAAATAGAAGAAACTAGAACCCTCTCTCACCTTGTGCAAAAGTCAATACAAAAATGGGACAAAGACCTTAATGTAGAACTTGAAAGTTTGAAAACATAGTAAAGCACTTCAAAATGCAGACATAGGCAAGATTTTCTGAACTGAACTTCAATAGCTCAGGAGCTAATCCCCAAAACTGACAAATGGGATTACATAAAATCAGAAACTTCTGCCCAAGCAGAGGAAACTAAATAAAGAGACAGTCTACAGGATGAGAGAAAAATGTCAGCTAACTACACAAACAGCTGATTAGTATCTAGAATATACCAAAAAATGAAAAAAAAATCACCACCGCAAAACCAAATCATGCAAACAACAAATGGGCTATGAACTGAATAGACAGTTCTCAAAAATGCAAACCACCAATAAATATTTTTAAAAGGTGCTCAACATTAGCCATCAGGGAAATACAAATTAAAACTGGTTTTAGAGTCTGTCTCACCCTAGTCAGAAAAGTTATCAAGAAAACAAAGGATAACAACTGCTGGCGAGGTTGTGAGGAAAAAGGAACCACTATTCACTGCTAGGAGTAGGGCACTGGTGCAGGCATTACGGAAATCAGCACTGTGCCCCCCCCCAAAAAATAACCCTAAAAATAGAAATTCCATGACTCAGCCATACCATTGAATACAACTCAAAATCAACATGCCACGGAGATACTTGCACATTCACACTATTCAAAATAGTCAGAACATGGAAACAGCCTAGATGCACATCAGATGAATGGACACAATGTGGTACATGTGTGCTGTGGAATTCTATACAGTCAGAAAAACGAAACCAAGCAGGGAGTGGTGGAACACGCCTTTAATCCCAGCACTTGGGAGGCAGAAACAGGCAGGTCTGAGATGGAGGTCAATCTGGTCTCCCTAGTGAGTTTTTAGGCCAGCTGGGGCTACAAAGGAGACCGTGTCTCAAAGAGAGAAAAAGAAAGCAGAAAGCAAGCCAGGAATGGTGATGCACACCTTTAACACCAGCATTTGGGAGGCAGAGATCGAGGCCAGCTTGGTCTCTATAGCAAGTTTCCAGGCCAGCTGGGGCCACAGGGAATCCCTATCTTAACCCCCCACCAAAAAAGGGGGGAAAATGAATAAAACCAGTAATCATTATGTTAACAGTTTCATAAAACAAATACTGCATGCTATCTCAAATATGCTGAGCCTAGATTTACAATTATGTATGTGTATTTGTGGGGGGATGGGTCACGAAAGGGGGGTCGTGAACGAAAGGGGATCGTGTCATAAGAGATGAGACCTTGAGGGAGGAAAAAGAGGGTAACAGAAAAACAGATGATTTGAAAGCAGAAGGTGGACCTATTTAAGAGAAGAAAAGCATCAACGTGGGTGGAGATTGGGGGGGTTGGAAATAGGGGAATGGGGTATGGAGAAGCAGTGTGGAGAGGAACAAGTGAGATCAAAGTATTACATGATTAGATGTATACAAAGTTCCACCATGAAACCCATTCCTTTGTATGTTAGATAAATTTTCAAACAAAAAACTGAATATGTCTAAGGCTAATTGATGCTCAGAGGTTAGCTCTTGAGACCACCCAAGGATGGTACATTAAAGCCTGAGGGGGATAAAGAGCAAGTTGGAAGGAGCTGGTGAGAAATTCCATTTACCTAGACACAGATACACCTGCACCTTTGAGAACCCAGAGTAGAGAGAATTGAGACCTCTCATTCCATCCCCCACCACCCCAACTAACTGTGCACACGTCCTTTTATTCTGATTACCATCATGCCTGCTTGGCCAACAGCCTCCCAGTGAACCAAGCCATGCTGGGAAAATGGGCTCCTCCCCACGGGCAAATATGCCCAGAGTTGTAGCAATAGCTGTGGCGCCTGGCTTAGCCCCGCCCTCTGCTCCCACCTATACAAAAGGGAAGAGGGTCATCAAAAAGAAATGGGCAAGAAGCCCCAACTTCAGCCGAGGGACTATTGGCAGCTGATAACTGCTGGGTGAGGGAGAGTTGGTCTTCTTTAAGGGAGTAATAGGCTGACCGGTCTCTACTGAATGAACTCACATCCTCACAATGAGGGACATCTAGAGACACAAACATGACTTGATATGCCTCAACATATATGACAGAAGGCTTGAGATCCAGTTGGGGAAGGGACTGACTATGGTGGGTTTTGGGAGGGGGGTCTAAATATGATTAAGATGTACTGTGTGATATGCACAAATTCAATTAAAAAACTGAAAAAAGTCAAGAAAGGGAAAGGAGAATGGGCAATTTGGGTTGATTTCAAGGCAGAAAAAGTAGAATTGTAGGCAAGATTGGAAAAGAACAAAATTAAATTCACCTGTGCAGCCACACAGCCAAGCTTAACTTAGCTTTTGGAGAGAAAGGTCACCCCTGCCCCCGGTTTATTGAGGTTGTGTTTAAGTATTTGCAATTTTATTTAATCGAACTATACAACATGAAATTATGATACACATACATTTAAATGATTATCAAACCAAGCTAAGTAAAATATTTCCTCGGTTTCTTGCCTGTGCTGAGAATTCTCAGAAATCCTCAGAAACATATACATGTTATCAACAGTAATTGTTGTGCAGTGCACCAGAACAGAACTACTTTGTCTTGTGTAACTAGAAGTTTGTAGCCTTTGATCAATGTCTCTCATCTCCCCCC